GCACCTGCCACAATGAGATTGATATGGGGAAGAGAACAAAAAAAGATAAACACGTGGAGATTAAATTAAACACTTCTTCAGGATCAGGAGACCGAACAAAGGATTAAAAAAGAAATAGAGCAATATTTTGAAAGAAATGAGACTGAAGAGGCGTCTGTGGCGACAGTGTGGGAAGCCCATAAGGCCTACATTAGAGGAATCTTAATAGCAATTGGGGTGAAAAAAAAAAGAAAGGAAAAAAAAAATAAACACACTCCTTAGAGAATTATTTGAATTAGAACAGATACATAAAAAGAAAATAACAAAAGAGATCAGGCAGAGTGTAATAGAAAAATGGTAGGAATTAAATAATTTAGTGGAGGAAGCAAAGAGGAGTGTTTAATAAGATGATAAGTGAAAGATATCGGTGGGGAGATAGACCAGGGAAATATTTAATGAGAGCTCAAAGAAAAAAAAAGAAAGGTAGGAATTATATAGAAAAAATAAGAGCTAATAAAGGAGAACTAAGATATTCTACTAAGAGTATTGCAAAAGTATTCAAAGATTATTCTAGTAAGCTATATAACATACCTCAGCGGTCCACAAGAGAAGAGGAAGAAAGAATTAAAAAAAGACAGGTATATTTAAAGGAGGCAGGTCTACCAAAACTGAGAGAAGATCAGTTAATAACCCTTGAGAAATCAATAACAATAGAAGAAATTAATTTTGCATTGAAGAGCACTGAAGCAGGGAAAAGTCTGGGACATGATGAGTACACTGTTAGATATTATAAAAAATTTAAAGATCAGTTAATACCTAAATTGAGTTTATATATGAATGCATTGGGAGGGGAGATGGAAATGAGAAAGGAATCCCTACAAGCTCTTATTACAATAATACCGAAAGAAGGGAAAGATACCGTATTTGCCGGCGTATAAGACGACTGGGCGTATAAGACGACCCCCCTACTTTTCCTGCTAAAATGTAGTGTTTGGGCTATACTCGCCGTATAAGACTACCCCTCTTCCAGTGCACACCAGTGGGAGGAATAGTGCCCCATCATTGATGTCAGTGGGAGGAATAGTGCCCCATCATTGGTGTCAGTGGGAGGAATAGTGCCCCATCATTGGTGTCAGTGGGAGGAATAGTGCCCCATCATTGGTATCAGTGGGGGAATAGGTGCCCCATCATTGGTATCAGTGGCAGGAATGGTGCCCCATCATTGGTATCAGTGGCAGGAATGGTGCCCCATCATTGGTGTCAGTGGGAGGAATGGTGTCCCATCATTGGTGTCAGTGAGGGGTGGAATAGTGCCCCATCATTGGTGTCAGTGGGGGGTGGAATAGTGCCCCATCGTTTGTGTCAGTGGGGGGGGGGGAATAGTGCCCCATCATTGGTGTCAGTGGGGGGGAGGAATAGTGCCCCATCGTTGGTATCAGTGGGAGGAATAGTGCCCCATCATTGGTATCAGTGACACCAATGATGGGGCACTATTCCTCCCACTGAGACTTGCTGACCCTGTTCTCGTATGGTGCTGCTGCAGCCAGCATATGTGGTTGCAGCAGCACCTCTACACAGAACACTTACCTGCTGCTCCGGCACTCAATTTTCGCGGGGCCGCTCGGCTCCGCCCCCTCGCTGGTGATTGGCCGCCTGTGTGCCTTTCCTGAGCTACAGTTCTGGCGGCCAATCACCGGTGAGGAGGCGGAGCCGAGCAGCCGCACGAACATCCAGTGGCCGAACTGAAGGAGACGCCGCGCTTCCTGGACCGGATCGTCGTGGGACTGGATCCAGGTAAGAGACATCAGCCCCTGCAAACCCCTGTACTTAATGCCGCAGCCCCCCTAACATGTGTACCGGCGTATAAGACGACCCCCGACTTTTGAGAAGATTTTCAAGGGTCAAAAAGTCGTCTTATACGCCGGCAAATACGGTAGTTCTCAGTGTTCCAGTTATAGACCGATATCCTTATTAAATATAGATACTAAACTATATGGAAAAGTATTAGCAAATAGCTTAACCCTTTGAGGACCAAGGGACGTATTTGTCCCATGTTTTTAATTGCCTGTATCATCTGAGGAACTTAAAACTTTTTTTTTTTTTTTTGGTTTGAGTCAAAATATTAGTTCTTATCAACAAACAACAAATGGATCTAGCTTTTTGCCAATTATTTCATGAAATGGCTTAGTTACAGCAACTGAAATGTACGAACTTTAAAAACAAAAAAATTGATTATTTTGGTGTTCCGTAATCTTCTGGTCCTCAAAGGGTTAAAGGATTTAATGCCGGAGTGGATCCATATGGATCAAGTGGGGTTTGTCCCTGGGAGAGAGGGTTGGGATAATGGATTAAGATCACTATTTCTTATACAAAAAAGTAAAAGAGAAATTGCTTTGCTACTGTCAGTGGACTTTCAATCTTATTAACCTTTAAACCAGACCACTCACATTTTTAAGGATAATAACCAGCATTTTATTGTTGTAATAACAATTTTCCGGAAATGACGTCGGGCGCCCGGGACGGCCATCCGGAAATACGTCAACGCGTTTCATCCTGTGGGTGGGGCGAAACGCGTTGACGTATTTCTGGCTGGCCGTCCCGGCGTCCGACGTCATTTCTGGTGAAGTGGAACGCACGCTGAGCGGTGCGTTCCAGGGGCCATCTTGCCTAGTGGAGGAAGCTGCTTCTGAGGTCTGTCATCCTGCTGGGTTACCTGGCTGTGGGGTCTTACTGGAAGATCTATGGAAAATCGTTATTACAACAATAAAATGCTGGTTATTATCCTTAAAAATGTGATTGGTCTGGTTTAAAGGTTAATAAGATTGAGTCATAACGGTATCACGCTATTTGGTTTTTTTCTTCCTGAGTCGGTGAGGGGAGGAATCGGAGGAGGAGGAGGTTTTCTATGTTCTAGAGGAGGCAATATCTGGAGGTTAAAAAAGGGGGTCCAGGAGCCCTTGATAATCCTGGAGGGCGTTGTACTCGCCAAACGTCTGGTGGGTGCGGTTCATGTTGGTTTTGCACTGGTGGATGGTGGAAGGACTATTATTGGCACTGAAGAAATTTATGAAAATATAAGCTTGTTTTTTTTATCACGGGACTTTTTTTGGATATGTCACTGGACTTTTTTTTTTTTGTTTTTGTTTTTTGTATGTGCCACAAAATATTTTGTTTTTTGACACTTATATATAAATTGTAATAATTTTGCATTAATATTGCTTATAGGTTGGGTATTTTATAGATTGCTTTCTGGTGTGTTTTGCGCTGTTTTTAGTTGGAAATTTTTTTTGGGGGGTTTTATACCTATGCACAGCAGCATCTCACGTGGTTAAGTGTGTGAGGAAGGAGGTCCTGGGCACTGAGGTCTCTCTTTTTTATAGGATTGTCTTTTAGAATAATGAAAAAAATTATGATAAAGTATATTTGGGGGAATAAAAAACCTAGAATAAGTTACGAGGTTTTAACTAGAGACAAAGAGAAATGGGGGATTGGGTGCTCCGGATTTTAAAATATATTATAATTCAGTATTGTTATCACAAATTTTTAATTGGACACATAATGCACAGGGAAAAAGTTGGGTAAACATAGAAAATACATTAAGCAAAACACATTTGAGTAGGATAATATGGTTACCACCTCACTGTCGTGGATTGATAGATGGCACAAGCACATTTACACGAAATGTTTTGAAATTTGGGATACAATGCACAAGCAAATGGCATGGGAATTCAACTCAATATTGATGCCCATTGTAAATACAGATTTCTTCCCGCCGGGGAATGAAAATATTGCAGGGAAATGTATAAAGAAGGGAGATGCACAAATGAGAGATATAATGAAAAGTGAGGACATTTGTCCCTTAGAGGAAATGAAAAGGAGGACTGAGCTGTTTACTAAAGTGGATGAGTGGTGGTATTGTCAACTGAAGCATTTCATAGGAAAACTCCCTAGGTCCTTAAGGAAAAAAGAAAAGTGGAACCCATTTGAACATTTATTTAGTACACGAGGTGATGGGAAACATGGAACTTCAAAAATATATAAAATTATTACGAGGTTGACAACAAACACGATCCCTGCTCATATGGAGAAATGGGAAAAAGAATTAGGTTTTAGGATAGAGGGAGATAAGCAAATAAAGATTTATAAGTTAACACACGGAAATGTAAACATGAAGGATGTAGAGATGAATTACAAATGTTTAGCGAGGTGGTACATGACACCAAATATAGTTCACAAACAAAATAGGGACAATTCACCTTTATGTTGGCGGGGATGAGGGGAACAGGGCACGGTGGTACATATCTGGTGGGAGTGTTATAAAGTTCAGGAATACTGGGAGGAAATAATATACCAAATACAGGTAGTAACGGGGATAAAAATACCAAAAGACCTAGGGATATGTCTCTTACATGAAACAGAGCTAACGGTTAAAAAATACAAACATTCTGGGTTATTGCATTATATTAACGCAGCAACAAATTTGATCCCCAAATTTTGGAGGGAACAAGAAGTACCAAAAGTATAGGATTGGGTAAGAAAGGTGGATCAGATATATAGAATGGAGGAACTGTACCATATAGATGAGGCTAAATTAGAATGTTTTCCCGAGAAATGGAAAAAAGGGAGGAGTTTAAGAAGCTTAAGTTAATGGAAAACACTTAGGAAATAGAAGAGGAAGAAAGCCCTAGGACTCTCAATGAGAGGGGAGAGAAGCTGAGTGGAGAGGGAGGGAGGGGGTGGGTGCTGGTAGTTGAGGGGAGGGAAGGGGATGTAGTGATTGGGTTAGGGTGGGGGGAATGGGAAGTTTTGTATTTGTTGATGATAACAGTTTAATAAGAGTTTTTATTCTCTGACTTTTACTGATGAAATGGATGAAATGTAAAATTTAATAAAATATTAATAAAAAAAAAAAAGATAACACCAATAAAGGGTAAGTGCTAATAATCCTTCAGTAACCTTTTATATGTATTAAAAAAAAACAGGAAAAAAAACAAAGCCTTGACCGGTCTGTCTATTTTTAGGTGGAGTGATCACCCAGAATACCCTTTTAAGGATGAGTACTGAGGTCCAGGTATAAAAAGTCCTCTCCACCATCAGTCAACAATGAGCCACTCTTCCGCAGTGGACACTCTTCGTGATCTTCCGATCTTCACCAGATGCCCAAAAGACAGAATACATACATGATCATGCCAAGACATTCCAAGGACAGAGTTTTTCATATTAAGCACAAATAAAAACAGTTTTTTTTAATAAAAATATATTCTATTTTCCTTCTTCCAAACTGATCTGATTTAACAGCATCTAGCATATTCTGGTGGTTCTTTATTGTCTATCAACACGAGATGAGTAGAAGATCTTTTGCTGCAGCCTACTAATTAGAAATGGAGATGCACTTTCTAATATATAACAAAAACTGATTTACTTTTAAAAATTCAACCAGACAGGGACATTCAGCAAGTGTGAATAAACACAAGAACTGGAATGTAATATAATGCAGTTTACCAGTCCTTCCATGTGGTGGCTCCATTTGTTTATTTGTTTTTTTTTCTAGGTTTTTGTTTCTCCTTTTATTTGAAGCTGTTTATCCTGCCAGTAACACAGTTTCCTGTCCTAGGCTCACTCACTGTATTGTTGTAATAGAAGTGCAGTATTGTCATCCTAGTACAGCAAGTGTGTTAGGTCTATAGGTTGAGTTTCAGTAGGTACATCTCTTGCATAAATCGACATTTTAGGCTACATTCAATTTGGCCTGGTGTAAATGGCAGCAGTATAAATCTGCAGATTTCTGCTGATGTTTTTGCCACATGTGGCCAGCATTAACCTGTCATTAAAGTGTATGGACTTGGTGGCTGCAGCAAGCCATTCACAGACTGCAAAAACAGCAGAAGGTATAGACAGATTCCTGCCACTGTCATTCGCACCAGGGCAAATTGTCTGTGTGAATGTAGCCTAAGAACGGACACACAGTGCTGTCACATCCTAACATTTTTAGCTACAGAAATTTTATTTCTGTGAAGTGTGAACTTACATCTACTTTGTGTCATGTGCAGAGCGCTATCCATGCCACACTAAGAAATGCAGCAGGAGGTGTTTAGGCAGGAAATAAAATTTGTTTCCAACAATGCACTGCTATCATGCATTTTAGACAATATTCTGCTTTAGGGCCGGTTCACACCATGCCAACATCTGAATCGCCCAGGAACACCCTGTGTGTTCCTATTCAGTTCTGTATGGTGTGATTTCAGCCCACACCGCAACAAAAGTAGTGTATGCACTACTTTTTAAAATGTACTGCAACCAAATCACATTGAACAAAAGTACCATGGGATCCGGTGCGGGCAAACAAATTCCATTGCGACCTGCGTTTGGGGTGTCGTTAACTTTTTTTTTTTACACCCGCTGCAGGTTGCAAATGTAATGCGTTTTGTATTTGGTTGTAAGCCCACAGAAACACACAGCGCCTTCCTGTGCGATTCAGATGTAGGCATGGTGTGAACAGACCCTTCTACAGAATGCAATTCAGTTCAAATCACATTCCATTCATTAGAGGAAATTGGTCCCTGGTGCTATCAAAGGCTATTTTTTCATGAGTGTTCACTTCAAGTCCGAACACTTTTACCCCCTTCCTGTCCAGGGCAATTTTCAGCTTTCAGCGCTATGACACTTTGAATGACAATTGCGCGGTCACTGTACCCATATGAATTTTTTACCATTTTTTTGAGACAGATAAAGCTTTATTTTGGTGGTATTTATTCACCGCTGGGATTTTTTTTTTTGCTATGTAAATGAAAATGTCCAAAAATGTAAAAAAAAGTGTTTTTCTTATAAAATTTTACAAACAAATAATCTTTCATCATAAATCTTGGCCGAAATGTATTCCGTTATCTTTTTAGTAAAAAAAAAAAAAAAAAGCCAAATTAGTTTATATACCAAAAAATTATAATTTTTAAACATTTTCTTTTTACATTTTTATTTTATTTTTTTATATTATTATTTGTTTTTTTTTAAATACTGTCACCCTAGCAGTACAGTGTCACCATGGTGAAACTGTACTACTTGTGGGGGGTGATGAAGATTTTTTTTTTTTTTTTACAGTGATTGCTTTTACACCCATATAGGATGTAAAAGCAATCATTTATCTTTCTCTCTGTCTGCATTCTTGCAGCCATTAAGAACTACTGAGTGAGCTGTGATTGGTCACAGCTTGTCACATGGTACAAGGCTGTTGTGAATAGCCTTGTACCATGTAACCTCTGTGATCATTCACAGATTTCACACGTAGTAAGCAATGATGTCACAAGAGGACACAGCGGGCACCGGATCGAGGTGCTGCGCACTCCCAGGGAGCGCGCACAGCTAGAAATGCCGTTTATGAACGGCAACCCGCTCCTGGAGTGCCACCATCCTGCTGTTTATAAACAGCAGGCGGACTGCAAGTGGTTAATTAAATATGTGAGCGATTCATAGTGCAATGCATGTAAAATCTTTATTAATGTGTTCTTAATTGTAAAAATGATCATAAAAAAACCCGGGGGGGAAAGTAACAAGTAGAAATAGCAGAAGGACTCCTGATCACCCATGATGAATTTGTTAGTTGAGTGTCCCCTGAAGGATTAGCACAGATCATGATATATACAGTTCTTATTGTTGTTGGCTTGTGTTTAGTCTCCATTCTTAAAAGGATACTCTGGGTGACTCTCCCACCTACACCAGAAAAACACAGATTGGAAATGGCCATGATGATGAAGCACAAACAAGATTTTCCATCATACTTTAAGTGGAGAAAGCTACATTATGAAAAATAGCTACCAATAGAAACCATAATCATTACTATATATACAGTATATATATATATATATATATATATATATATATATAAAAATCTCACAATAAATTAAAGGAACACTTTGAAAACACATCATATCTCAATGGGGAAAAATATCATGCTGGATATCTATACTGATATGGAGTGGGTAATGTGTTAGGAATGTAAGGATGCCCCATCGTTTGATGGAAATGTAAATTATCAACCTACAGAGGAGTGAATTCAAAGACACCCCGGAAATCAAAGTGAAAAAACGACTGCAGCAGGCTAGTCCATTTTGCTGAAATGTGATTGCAGCAGCTCAAAATTGTACTCAGTAGTTTGTATGGCCCCAATGTGCTTGTATGCATGCCTGACAACATCGGGGCATTCTCCTAATGAGACGACGGATAGTGTCCTGGGGTATTTCCCCCCAGATCTGGATCAGGGCATCACTAAGCTCCTGGAAAGTCTGAGGTGCAACACGGTGGTGTTGGAAACATGATATCCCAGAGGTGTTCTATTGGATTTAAGTCAGGCGAGCATGGGGGCCTTTCAATGGTATTAATTCCTTTATCCTCCAGGAACTGTCTGCATACTCTCTCCACATGAGGCCGGGCATTGTCGTGCACCAGGAGGAACCGAGGACCCACTGCACCAGCATAGGGTCTGACAGTGGGTCCAAGGATTTCATCCCAATACCTAATGGCAGTCAGGGTGCCATTGTCTAGCCTGTAGAGGTCTGTGCGTCCCTCCATGGATATGCCTCCCCAGATCATCATTGACCCACCACCAAAACGGCCATGCTGAACGATGTTACAGGCAGCATAACTTTCTCCACGGCTTCTCCAGACCCTTTCACTTCTGTTATGTGCTCAGGGTGAACCTGCTCTCATCTGTAAAAAGCACAGGGTGCCAGTGGCAGACCTGCTAGTTCAATAGCAAATGCCAATCGAGCTCTATGGTGCCGGGAACTGAGCACAGGGCCCACTAGAGGACGTTGGGCCCTCAGGCCACCCTCATGAAGTCTGTTTCTGATTGTTTGGTCACAGACATTCACACCAGTGGCCTGCTGGAGGTCATTTTGTAGGGCTCTGGCAGTGCTCATCCTGTTCCTCTTTGCACAAAGGAGCAGATACCGGTCTTGGAATCTCCTCCATGCTCTTGAGACTGTGCTGGGAGTCACAGCAATCTTTCTGGCAATGGCACGTATTGATGTGCCGTCCTGGAGGAGCTGGACTGCCTGTGCAACCTCTGTAGGGTCCAGGTATCGCCTAATGCTACCAGTAGTGACACTGATCATAGCAAATGCAAAACTAGAGGAAAACAGTCAGAAAAGATGAATAGGGACAAAAATGTCAGTGGCCTCCACCTGTAAAACCATTCCTGTTTTGGGAGTCGTCTCATTGTTGCCCATCTAGTGCACCGGTTCTTAATTTCATTAACATCATTAACAACTCCCTCTGCTACTTAATTGACCAGATCAATATCCCAGGCGTTTAACTGACTTGATGCTATACTCTGAGTAAAAAGTGTTCCTTTATTTATTTAAGCAGTGTAGTGTGTGTGTGTGTGTGTATGAACTTTGCTAGAGTGGAGGGTGGGTCAAAACTTGGGTTATCTCTTTCAGCCAAGATTAGGTGATCAAATTGCTCTCATGACTAGAAAAAAAAGAAGCCTGGAGCAACCTATTCACCAGGACAGGTACGAAGTGACACTAAACTCTGGTTTAAAGCCGTAGTAAACTCAGTTTATTCCATTATGTCTTGGGAAGATTCTAGTATGAGTATGATGCTATTGGAAGCGCTGAGCATTTTTTTCAGGCTCCACCTCCAGCTCTTTGAGCTGTGGGATTGAAGAGGGATGAGTGGTCATGTGGCCGATGCAAAAATTGGATAAAAAAAAATCTATTCAAATTAGGGATGCACCGATACTATTTTTTGATTGGTAGGTACAAGTACAGATACTTTCGGTCAAGTATTTGCCGATACACTGCAGTGCGATCTGCGTCATTTAAAATGTATGGATACAAATTGTACCGCAAAGAATAGCATGTAAATTGAACAGGAATGCTATTCCTGTCCAAATAGCATGCAATTTTCCCACTGCTCCTGCATGAACCCAGGCTTGTCATAGTTTGAGTTCACACAGGAGCGGTGCTGGATGACACTAATCCCATGCTGAGCGGAGAATTGGAGAGAAGGGCATGTGGGGATGTATACCTTGGTGTTGGCCATCAGAAGGATGGTGGCAGATGCTCTGGATTCTCATCTGTAGGAGAGAGAGAGAAGCCACAGGATTTGAAATCCCCTCGGCTTTCTCTCCTATCAGTGCAGGGACGATAGTATGGGCTATATGGGTTCTGACGGTGCTGACCAATCAAAAGCCATCTGGCTTGTACTGTCATCCCTGCAAGGAGAGGAGAGGAAGCCACAGGGATTTCAAATCTCCACGTCTTTCTCTCCTCTCCTCTCCTACAGCTGAGAATCCGGAGCATCTGCCTCCATCCTCCACCTGATAGCCGACACCAGGCACCCTTCTCTCCCATTCTCCGCTCGGCATAGGATCAGTGCACGGAGGTTTTCTGCATCTCTCCTGTGTGAACTATGAAAAGCTGCGTTTTACACAGGAGCAGTGGAGAAACCGCATGCGATTTGGACAGGAATAGCATTCCTGTTCAAATTGCGCATGCTATTCTTTGCGGTGCAGTTTGCATCCATGCATCTAATACATCCATGTAATTTGTGTCAATGCAAAATGTATGGATGCAAATTGCACCTCAAAGTATTGGTTTGAGTATAACATTGTCACAAATACTCATACTCATGAAAATACTCAGTATTGGCACTGGTGCATCCCTAATTCAAATAATTTGTTTTAAAGGACACTGGGGCTTTGCAAACTTAATAGGTCTCCTGTGAATGATTGTTGCACCTTTTAATTTGCATACACTTTAGGCCCCATTTGAAATTGGCCTACTTCTAAGACAGCATTCCCCTGCAGCTCTGGACCTCCCTCTTATCTGTAATTGTAACAATGATAATCAAAAAATAGTGCTTTTTCTGTTGAGCAGCCCTTGATCCCAATCTCCCTGCCCCAAACAATATCGCTAATTTGGATAACTCATTCAAACACTCTCCAAGTAGGAGTAACTGCTGAATGATGGCTTTTGATTGGCTGTGATGACTTGGGTCAAAAGCCAATAAGATTTTATTGTAATCTGTTATGATTGGTAGGTACTGATTATTGTGTTTTGTGCATTGGTGCTTTGGAGCTTACCATGGAGTTTTCCAGTAACGGACATTTTGGTTGAGGTTGTCAATGGCTTTCATGTCCTCTTCACTAAGGCTGAAGTCAAAGACCTTATTAGAGAAGAAAAATGTAGTGGTAACTACCAAATAAATATATCATAATACAATGATTTTCCTTTTTTTTGTCCTGTTCTTCCTTTTCTAATAGATATATTAACTTGTACCCTTTTGCCTGTATAGAATGGTTAAATTTCTTGTTTGCTGTCTGCGTCCTATTGGGGACATTTTCCATCACTTCCTGTAAAATAGATGCAGCAGGAAGGGAGAAGAAATCCCTACAAAATGAAGGGAAACCCACCCTGATTGTAACCAGAACAGGCATCCTTATTGGAAGATGTACCCTTACATCTTGTTCTGGTAGCAGCTGTCTGAGAGACAGTGGTCACCAGGACAACTATACAGGGTAGAGACACCAACCGCAATAACACCATAATATACAGTGAGGAACAGAAGTATTTGAACACCCTGCGATTTTGCAAGTTCTCCCACTTAGAAATCATGGAGGGGTCTGAAATTCGCATTGTAGGTGCATTCCCACTCTGAGAGACAGAATTTAAAAAAAAATTCAGGAAATCACATTGTATGATTTTTAAAGAATTTATTTGTCTTGCACTGCTGAACATAAGTATTTGAACACCTAAGAAACGGCAAGAATTCTGGCTCTCAAAGACCTGTTACTGTGCCTTTAAAAAGTCCACCTCTACTCCACTCATTAATCTAACTTAGTAGCACCTGTCTGAGCTCTTTAAAGACACCTGTCTACCCCACAGTCAGTCAGACGCCAACTACTACCTTGGGCAAGACCAAAGAGCTGTCAAAAGACACCAGAGACAAAATTGTGGGCCTCCACAAGGCTGGAAGGGCTACGGGGCAATTGCCAAGCAGCTTGGTGAAAATAGATCAACTGTTGAAGCAATTGTTAGAAAACGGAAGAGGCTAAAGATGACTGTCAGTCTCCCTCGGAATGGGGCTCCATGCAAGATCTCACCTCGTGGGGTATCACGGATGATAAGAAAGGTGAGGAATCAGCCCAGAACTACAAGGGAGGAGCTGGTCAAAGACATGAAGAGAGCTGAGACCACAGTTTCAAAGGTCACTGTCGGTAGAACACTACGCCGTCATGGTTTCAAATCATGCATTGCACGGAAGGTTCCCCTGCTCAAGTCATCACATGTCCAGCCCCGTCTGAAGTTTGCCAATGACCATCTGGATGATCCAGAGGAGGCATGGGAGAAAGTCATGTGGTCGGATGAGATCAAAGTGGAACGTTTTGGTCTAAACTTCACTCGTCGTGGTTGGAGGAAAAAGAAGGATGAGTTGCATCCCAAGAACACCATCCCTACTGTGAAGCATGGGGGTGGTAACATCATGCTTTGGGGGTGCTTTTCTGTGAAAGGGACAGGACGACTGCACTGTATTAAGGAGAGGATGAATGGGGCCATTTATTGTGAGATTTTGAACAACAACCTCCTTCCCTCAGTCAGAGCATTGAAGATGGGTTGTGGCTGGGTCTTCCAACATGACAACGACCCGAAGCACACAGCCAGGATAACCAAGGAGTGGCTCCGTAAGAAGCATATCAAGGTTCTGGAGTGGCCTAGCCAGTCTCCAGACCTAAATCCAATAGAACATCTTTGGAGGGAGCTGAAATTCCGTGTTGCTCAGCGACAGCCCCGAAACCTGACAGATCTAGAGGAGATCTGTGTGGAGAAGTGGGCCAAAATCCCTGTTGCAGTGTGTGCAAGCCTGGTCAAGAACTACAGGAAACGTTTGACCTCTGTAATTGCAGATTTTCTCAGGTGTTCAAATACTTATGTTCAGCAGTGCAAGACAAATAAATTCTTTAAAAATCATACAATGTGTTTTCCTGAATTTTTTTTTAAATTCTGTCTCTCAGAGTGGGAATGCACCTACAATGTGAATTTCAGACCCCTCCATGATTTCTAAGTGGGAGAACTTGCAAAATCGCTGGGTGTTCAAATACTTCTGTTCCTCACTGTAGAATGTGTATAGAGTGTAAAAGCGCCATTCTATATATGAAAGTTCAACGCAAAATTGCAATTAATAGTGCCTGGGAAAAGCCAAAGCCAGGGACGTACCTACAGGGATCACAATCGCAACTTGGCCCCATGCTGCAGACAGGCCCATGAGACCCCCCTGTACACCTGGATAGGAGGGACAGCGGGTGACTGCATATAGAGGGATCAATCTCTTCATTTTCCTCCTGCAGCTGCTGAATGCTTGCAGGAAGGAGAAGAGGAGAAGCACGCATTCAGCAGTTACAGGAAGAACATTCAGAGATCGTGTCATTTACTGGCCCCTTCCTTTTCTGAATGGAGAGTCAGTGATTGCTATAAATCACTGTCTGTCTATTCATAACTGAAGTGTAGTAAACTATGTTTACTATACTTCAGCTTGTGAATGGACAGGAAGCTCTCTACAGTTTCAAAAACGGACACCTTAGTCCCATCTAGTGGTTAAATGTAGTATATTACATTTAAAATGTAAATGATTTACTAACAAAAAGCACAGGATATAGCTTGATAACATTTGTATTTTTTGCCCCCATCAAACAGAAACAATTTTGCATGTAATTTCACTGAGCAAATAGCTATGAAATCCACCTTATAGTGTGCCTGTACACACATGTGTCTTGTCTGGCTGCACCAGGTCCCTTTTGTGGGTCCACATACCTCCCTGCACTGAGTTTTACACCTAAACCAACACCTATTCAGTGCTGAACCTGGCATTAACTTTAATGTTCCATATTGGCAGAGTACTAGATCAGCATCAGCATGATATAAAGGATGTTATCAGAATTTCTTAAACTTTTTAAATAACCGTATTATAAGTATAAGTTGTATTTGCACATAGGGGAATTCACATTTGCAATGCAATGTGATGGTTGGGCTTTACTGCTCCATCTCACAATGCAAGTCTATGAGTTGGCCAAAGAAAACAGCCCTGTGTGGCTGAGGATTTTGGGGTTATTTAATAAAAGTGGATAGTGCAAAAATCTGGTGCAGCTCTCCATATTAACCAATCAGCTTCCAGGTTTTATTGCCAAAGCTCAATTGAACAAGCTGAAGTTAGAAGCTGATTGGATACCATGCACAGCTGCACCAGATTTAGTAAATCTCCCTCACTGTTTCAACGGTCGTTAAAAAGGAAAGCTAGTAATTACACATTGGGGTAGATTTACTAAAACTGGTTCACTCAGAATCCGGTGCAGCTGTGCAAGGTATCCAATCAGCTTCTAACCTCAGCTTGTTCGATTAAGCTTTGGCAATAAAACCTGAAAGCTGATTGGTCTCTATGCAGAAGTGAGATAGATTTGCACTCTCCAGCTTTAGTAAATAAACCCCCTTGAGTGCTTGCTCTCTCTAGTGGCCAATTTTTAGAGGGATCTTTACCAAACACAATGAAATAAAAGAGAAATCATGTATGTATTGGTAAAGTCACAGTACAAATTACTTAAAATAAAATGTTGTAAAAGTAATAATTAAATATGCTTGTTCACTGAAAATATATTGTATCTCTTTAAACTAGCATTCCCTACAGTACTAAGGTTGTTCGATCTGGCTACTGTGTATTAAAACTTAATATTTGCAAAGATATCTTTAAAGCATTACTATCTTTTAATGAATAGTAGAGCTTTACCTGGAGATTCTGCTTCATACGTTCGGGTTGAAGCTCTTGACCACAGCGCTGCATCGCCTCTGAATTATATATCGGATGGACACTTGGGCCACAGTCTTTTTATATTTCTCTCCGATCGAGATCAGGGTGGCATCTTTAAGAATAGGTGGGCAGCTTTGATCCACCCTATAAAACAATAATGCATACACTGTTTTTGCTGTTTTTGAAAGATGTACTCTGTCCAAATGTTTTTATTCATTTTGAGAGGGACAAAGCAATGCTTATAGGTTAGCTAAACCCAAGAATAAAATTGTAGTATTATTTATGGAGATGAGAAATGGTAGGGGCTGGTTGTTTTTGAAATCTGGAGTGCAGCTGAGGGGAGACAATGCTGCTCCTTCATAGATATACTGTAACAAGTGAGCGCTGTCACCCTCGGAAAGGCAGTGTGTAACTGGCAGAATCACCAGGTGAAAATAAAGTGAAACAAATAGCCTGTAATTAGTAAACTAATGCAGCCACCATATCAAAGGACCGGTAAGCTGCAATATGTTACATTTTTGTTCCTGGGCTTTGATACAATTTAATTCCCCATGAATTCTTCTATCATCAGCTGTAGAGTAGCTGACGGTTTGAGTCGAACCTAAGTGCAACTCAAAGATTGGCCGTTTGTATGTGCGCTGAACACTCGAATAGTAAGGGCTTTCGGAAGGAAGTTCGCCCGCATGCCCAAACAATTTAAAACATGCTTTGTGATTGGCCAAAGCACTGCACCTGACCACAGGTCAGGAAGAGCCATGATTGGCCAAAGTCTTGTTGAATTTGGCCAATCATGGCTCAGGGGCTAACCCACACCCCACACTATTTAATTGCATAGTGTGTGTTATAGGAGTGGCCTTGTGCAGTGTTATAAGAGCAAAAAAAAATAAATAAAAAACAGTTTATAGTGCACCAAGCACAAGCATATTGCACCCAAGCACCAAAATCCCATCCCACACAGAAAAATTAAGTGGCAAAGTCCCTCTAGTCTTCCTGCTGGAGCACACGCTGCGTGGAATCATGGACAGGGCACTTGAGGCCCAATTTTTCTGCACCTGGTTGACATGTGCATCTATTTTAAAATTTTCACCATTTTTCTCTAATTGTTAACAATTTTTAACTGCAGGGCCCATTCCCATTCCTGTGCCCAGCAATAGTAACTGTGAAGAGTTCAGGCACCACCAACTATATAAGGCAGAGGGAAGAATACTCTCCACGAAAAAAACTAAACAATTAAATAAAGAATAATAATTAAAAAAATAATATAAGCAAAAAATACATTAAAAAAAAAAACCAAATCTGGTATAGATTGAGGGGGACCCCATGCTGCTTTTTGTTTTGTTTTTTTTAATAAACATGTCATTTAAAAAAAAAAATGTCAGTCCTGTTGCAGCAAGTTCTATATCTTGTACAGATATGCAGCTTTGCAGGTAGTTTAAGGGGACCCCCCAGACATTATATTCAAAAGGATGTTTTCAATTTTTTTTTATTTTAAGCAATGAAAAATGACTGCCCCTTTAAAATCGGTACTTTTTGAAAAACATTTATTCACTGATTCATGTCCCTCAGGGCAATACCCAAGTCCCTATTCCACTTTTATGGCCAATACCTTGCATATAAGCTTTCAAAATGGGCACTTTTGAATTTGCAAGTTCAACTCCCATAGACTTGCATTAGGTTTGATGTTCATGGCGAACTTTTGGTCCGTTTGAATGTTTTACCGCAAACCAAACCGGGGGGTGTTTCTGCCCATCACTAATCAGGTGTAATGAACTACAGTGAACAGCCTCACAAGCAGAAAAGCACAACTGCAGCAGAGTCACTGCTTAAGGACCAGTAAAAATATAACCATTTCACTCACCACTGCCCAGTGGTTGGTGATCCCAGGACTCCGTATGCTGTAATCGCAATGTCATTAGCTTTACAAAATTCCAGCAGTTTATTTTGGGTGAGGTAGGGGTGACATTCCACCTGGCAGTGACAAAAGAAAAGGTCCTAGAATTATATAATACAATATTTGAGGATGTCCCTCAAATTTTACAAATTCACCACTTAGGTGGTCAGGTTTGGGATCTTTCCAACAGAAAACAAATGATACCCATGTACCCTCCTGAACATCAGGGAGAAATGATCAAAACTGGAGCATTCTATGCACAAAGGTAAAAAACCTTCAGTGTGCAGTTCCCCCCTCATTCCCCTCTTATACTCACCTGCGCCTGATCACGATTTAGCAATGTGCACAAGAGCAGTAGCTCTCCCAGGTCTCTGCCTCCTCATTGGCTGAGACACAGCAGTGGAAGCCATTGTCTCTCGCTGTTGTCAATCACAGCCAGCAAGGAGAGAGTAGAGAGTGGGGCTAAACCGCTCTTTGTATGTCTAGTAGTAGGCATACAGAGGAGGCTCAGGAGCAAGCACACATGAGCACCCAGCAGCGTGGAGGGGCCTGGAGCACCGCCGGGGGACCCAAGAAAAGGAGGATCAGGGCTGCTCCGTGCAAATCTATTAACAGAGCAGGAAAGAATGACATGTTTGTTTATTTAAATCAGGATCTTTAATAGCACTTTAATGCATACAATGCATTACGGTAAAGAACCTTCGGCTTTGTTAGTCTCATTGGGAGAAATTGTGCCCTATCATTGATGTCATTGATGGAAGGAATTGTGCTACTTTAGTAGGAGAAAATAATGGGGCTTTTAAGGTACCATACCATTATGGGTATAAAGATGCATAAACAAAAATAGAGCATATTTTATTATGACACAAGACTCTGGCTCGGGACGTGAGAACGTCACGGGCAAGAGTCCTAAAACCCTATTGATACCATCAAAAGAATTAATCATCATCAAACTGGTAAAACGATTACAGACATGAAAGGTGTGAAAAATGTTGATAATTAGTGGAAATAACTAAATTAATATAGACTACTACCAAATGATGGACCATTGGGTGTAATTTAAGACGGGTGGTAATTCCACTAGAAAACAAAAAATTTCTTTTCCATAAAATTGAATACAAAACTGGATAAACAATCAAAAGATCCAACGCATTTCATGGAATGTGACCCACTTCTTCAGGGAAAGTGGAAAACCTGAGCAACAATGCCAGTCGATGATAGCACTCTGTTCAATGGCAGCACCTGCTGTACATGAAGATCAGTAGTGATTGGATACACAAAGGGAGATTTTCTGAGCACTGGGGAGGAAGCAACCGGTCCGAGAATACCTCAGATCAAATTGGGTAGCAAACACCAAGCCATTGTTCGTGCTAGATGAAAAAAGTATAGTAACCAACAAAAAAAGGGCAACATTTGCCCAAACAGATGCCCCAGTGCAGGGGGTAATTATGCCTCATTGTTGGCATCAGTAGATTTATTGGTTTATTTTATTTGAAACTTTTTTTTCGCTGTCTCTTTAATTTTTTTAGCAACTTTTTTCTTTTCACTAGGGTTGAACACCATCCCTTGTGAAAGCATGGGCCATGACAAGTCCTCTTTTTGGAGAAATTTGGGTTCTATGAAACCCCAAATCTCTCCTCTGGTCTCCAATGCAGCCGATCAGACACAGATCAGTCTGATCGGCTGCTTACTTGGCCGCTAATAGTGAATACCGCAAAGCAGCATAGTGAATCGACAATTACAGGATCGATATTTATGGAAAATGTGTGCAGACACCCAAATACTGCATGTAATCTGCTTTAGTGAATGGAGTCCTATATCTGTTACACAACAAAAGTGAAGTATCAGAGAAACTTGAACAGTATTTGGCTCAAGTAAGCAACAAACTTGTCAGAATGTCAAGTGTATTGCGCATAGACAATAGAACCGAATATTCATATAATTACACACAGGCAATTCTCAGAAAGCACAGCATAATATTTCAAACTGCTGTACCATACAACCCAGAACAAAACTGGGTTGCAGAAAGAATGAGTCGTACATTATATGAGAGGGGAAGAATCATGCTGTTTTATGCAGATATACAGTGGATGTATGTTAAAATGTCAGGTTCCTGTGATGTAAAAAAATGAGACAAAGATAAATAATTTCAGAACTTTTTCCACCTTTAAAGTGACCTATAAACTGTACAACTCAATTGAAAAACAAACTGAAATTTTTTTAGAGGGGAGGGTAAATTAAGCAATCACATTCAAAATCATGTTAAATAGGAGTCAGTACACACCTGCCATCGTTTAAAGTGCCTCTGATTAACCCCAGCTGTTCTAGTAGGTCTTTCCTGACATTTTCTTAGTTGCATCCTACAGCAAAAAAGCCATGGTCCACAGAGAGCTTCCAAAGCATCACAGGGATCTCATTGTTAAACGGTATCAGTCAGGAGAAGGGTACACAGAATTTCCAAGGCATTAGATATACCATGGAACACAGTGAAGATAGTCACCATCAAGTGGAAAAAATATGGCGCAACAGTGACATTACAAAGAACTGGATGTCCCTCCAAAACTGAAGAAAAGACAATAAGAAAACTGGTCTGGGAGGCTGTCAAGAGCCCTACAGCAACATTCCCGTCACTTATAGCAGATACAGCTACAGGTGGCAGGGGTGCGCAAAATCACGTATATGTATGTGATTTTGCATTTCCGGGTAGGGAACACAGCACAGCCATCCAGAGCAGTGTGATTACAGTAAAGCACACTGACACCGCCCCCCAGTAAAACACTCCCTGCACACAGTTAACCCTTTGATCAACCCTCATGTTAACCCCTTCCTTCCAAGTGCCATTAGTTCAGTGTCAGTGCTTTTTTTAGCGCTGATTACTGTATTGGTGTCGCTGGGGATGTCAGTGACACCAAATCAGTTCCTCCCAGTGTCAGAATGTCCACCGCAGTCCTGCTATAAGTCGCTGATCACCACCATTACTAGTAAAAAAAAAAATTTCCAGTATCTATGCCGCCAGTTGTAAACTTTCACATAAACCAATTAATTTACATGTATTGGGATTTTTGTTAGCAAAGACATGTAGCAGAATAAATTTTGCTCCAAATTTATGACAAAAATATTGTTTTTTTTTATAGCGCAAAAAATAAAAATTACACAGGCAGTCAAATACCACCAAAAGAAAGCTCAATTCATGGGAAAAAAAAGGACATACATTTCATTTGAGTGCAGTGTTGCATGACCGTGCAATTGTCAGTTAAAGTAATGCAGTGCTGTAACGTACAAAATGGCCGGTTCAGGAAGGGAGGTAAATCTTCAGGAGAGCAAGTGGTTAAAGTACTGGCTGTGTGGTACATGTGACAACAATCTCTCATATTCTTCAAATGTCTGGGCTACGGGGTAGAGTGGCAAGACGGAAGCCTTTTCTTACGAAGAAAAACATCCAAGCCCAGTTAAATTTTGCAAAAACACATCTGAAGTCTCCCAAAAGCATGTGGGAAAATGTGTTATGGTTTGATGAAACCAAGGTTGAACTTTTTGGTCATAATTACAAAAGATATGTTTGGCGCAAAAACAACACTGCACATCACCAAAAGAACACCATATCCACAGTGAAGCATGGTAGTGGCAGCATCATGCTTTGGGGCTGTTTTTCTTCAGCTGGAACTGGGGCCTTAGTCAAGGTAGAGGGAATTATGAACAGTTTCAAATACAGTGCATCCAGAAAGTATTCACAGTGCTTAACTTTTGCCACATTTTGTTATGTTACAGCCTTATTCCAAAATGGATTACATTCATTTTTTCCTCAACATTCTACAAACAATACCCCATAATGACAACGTGAAAAAGTTTGTTTTGAAATCTTTACAATTTATTAAAAATAAAAACCGAAAAAAAAAACACATGTACATAAGTATTCACAGTCTTTGCCATTACACTCAAAATTGAGCTCTGGTGTATCCTGTTCCCACTGATCATCCTTGAGATGTTTTCACAACTTGATTGGAGTCCACATGTGGGAAATTCAGTTGACTGGACATGATTAGGAAAGACATAAACCTGTCTATATAAGGTTCCACAGCAGGGGCGGACTGACAACTCATGGGGCCCCCGGGCAATAGGGGATCATGGGGCCCCTGTGTCCTTGCCCACACTCAAACCACACCCAGAAAAGCCTATGAAAGGTACCAGGGACATCTCATGGGGCCCCTACTGACCCCGGGCCCTCGGGGAGTGCCAACTCTGTGAATGTGCTGGAGTGGCCCAGCCAGAGCCCAGACTTAAACCCAATTGATCATCTCTGGAGAGATCTGAAAATGGCTGTCCACCGACACTCCCCATCCAACCTGATGGAGCTACTGCAAAGAAAAATGAGAGAAATTGCCCAAAAATAGGTGTGCCAAGCTTGTAGCATCATACTCACAACAACTTGAGGCTGTAATTGGTGTTAAAGGGGCTTCAACAAAGTATTGAGCAAAGGCTCTGAATACTTATGTACATGTGGTTTTCTCATTTTTTATTTTTAATAAATTGCAAAGATTTCAAAATGAACTTCTTTCACATTGTCATTATGGGGTATTGTTTGCAGAATGTTGAGGAAAAAAAATAATTTAATCCATTTTGGAATAAGGCTGTAACATAACAAAATGTGGCAAAAGTTAAGCAATGTGAATACTTTCTGGATGCACTGTACCAGTCAATATTGGCACAAAACCTTCAGGCTTCTGCTAGAAAGCTGAACATAAAGAGGCACTTTATTTTTCAGCATGACAACAACCCAAAACATACATCCAAGTAAACAAAGGAATGGCTTCACCAGAAGAAGATTAAAGTTTTGGAATGGCCCAGCCAGAGCCCAGAGCTGAATCCGATCGAAAATCTGTGGGGTGATCTGCAGAGGGCTGTGTACAGATGTCCTCACAATCTGACAGATTTGGAGTGTTTTTTCCAAGGAAGGGTAGGCAAATACTGCCAAGTCAAGATGTGCCATGCTGATAGACTTATACCCAAAAGACTGAGTGCTGGAATAAAATCAAAAGGTGCTTCAACAAAGTATTAGTTTAAGGGTGTGCACACTTATGCAACCATATTATTTTAGTTTTTTACTTTTACTTTTTTTTTTTACTTCCCTCCACTTAAAATATTTCAGTTTGTTGTTCGACTGAGTTGTACAGTTTATAGGTTCCATTAAAGGTGGAAAAAGCTCTGATATTATTTATCTTTGTCACAGAAACCTGACATTTTACAGGGGTGTGTAGACTTTTTATATCCACTGTACCAACCACAAAATCGACTATTAGGAAAACCACCTGAGAAAATTCCATATGAACTGTGGAATGGAAAGGCACTGAAATTCAACCATCTAAAAATGTATGAAAGCAAAGCCTATGTGCACATCCCAAAAGAAAAACATACAAAATGGGATGCTTGTGCAAAGGAAGGTGTACTTGTGGGGTAAAGTGAATCGCAAAAGGGATATAGATTTCTACATCAAGATACAAACAAGGTAACCATCAGTAGAAGTGTAATTGTCGATGAAACTTCAGTGTGTGCAATATATTTCATGAACTAACACAAACGCTTCAAACTGAGGGAAATTCATCATCAGTGTCACATGAAGCTGAGCAACAAAGTGACCAGGAAATAGAAATTAATACAGATAATCCAAATATTGTAAATGAAGAAACCAGGCCACAAGAGGCTTCAATCAGGAAATCCACCAGAAGCAATAAAGGCATCCCAGTCAAACATCTGTCCTACGTTAATTGTGTAGCATTTAAACCAGAGCCAGATTCATGGGATGAGATGCAAAAACTTCCAGCCCATAAGAAACAAAAGTGGATCAGAGCCGCTGATGAAGAGATGATATCTCTTAGTGAACTGCAGAAATGGACACTTTCAAAACAGATTTATAGAACTGAGATCCAAAATGGAACTAATATATGAAGTAGTTGTTGAGTGGGGGTGTTAGAATACAATGTTCATGTATTTTGTGTGCAACAACTACAGATATATTTTTCAGCCTGTAGATGGCAGTGTTTACAGGTTTGTAACTGCATCAATGATTATACTCTATGTCTTTTCTCTGAATAAAATTCCTGTTACCTGTTTGCAGAAAAGAGTGTAACACACAGGGGGGCACAATGGACAAGGGACGAGCCTTTGCTGGACACAGCCCCTGTACATGGGACAGCAAAACTAAGCTGAAAAGGTAGGACAGTCCCAGCCAATCTGGGACTGTTGGGAGGTATACAGTTAATTATGAAGCCATTTTGATGGATGCCCCTCCTCCTGTGATGTTCAGTTTTTGGACAGAGAGGAGTGCCAGGATCCCACCACCAGTGCTTCTGAAACATACAGGGTTAGTGTATGTAAGGGTTAGTACTCCTTCTTATAGGTCTTGGATATTTTAACACTGAGATCTCACTGCTATCATTCCCAGCTCTGTTCCAGCCCCAACTATGAGTTCCCCCCACCTTTGTGTATTCCAGCTCCTCCAATTACATTACTCATAATATAAAATAAATATAAAATCCACCAGGATTTTTGAGGACTCTCATAATAGGTTAGAGCAAAGAAATTTGATAACTCTGGATTAATGCACTTTACCTTTTATTCTCTGCGGTTCCTAAAATAAATGTATTTTTCTCACTTTTAAAGCTGTGGCTTTACAAACTGAAAAAAAATCTCTTTACCTGATTGCAGACAGGCTTGTATTTCAACCCTGGTTTATTCAGGATAAGTTTCAGCTGCTGTTGGTTAAAGTTGGATACGCCAATAGATTTGACCAAACCAGCATCCTTGCATTGCTTCATTGCCTGGAGAAAGAGTGAAAACACCTCAGGGGTAACTGACTTATTTATGTCACAGGTCATCCATTCTGAGGTTTTGACAAATGTTTGTTTTCCTATTTCTTTATTTATCAAAGGCGTGACAAAATTTTTTTCACAAGACTGACAACTTGTACATAGCTACTAATCACCTTAGATGGGTCATGGTGTGAGACAATAATAAAACCTTCTACCTCTAAATGTTCTGTTTTGGAAGAATTATGCCAGTTTTGTATTGTAAAAAGCATGACTTGTTACGTTGTCCAGCGTTGTAGCCTCCCCAAGCCTCTTCAGCATTCAACACTTCCAGGAGTGACAGATGCCTGTTGGCTCCCTCCACTGACACCTACAATATGGCTATCCATGTAGAGACATAGGGGTCAAAGGATGGAAAAATAGTGTGTGGTGGAGACACAGACATTTAACACTCCCAGTAATGTTGAATGACATTCCTATCGAAAGGACCTGCTAGTTTGATTCTTTTAGAGACCCAACAGGGTATATTTAAGGGCCATCAACGAATAAACCACACTCATCAGGGTATTTTATTTTGTATCCCAGTAACCCCAGATTTTGACTTACCTCCCAGGTCTTTCGGAGGTCAACGTGTTCAAACAAGGCTGTACCATTCTCATCAGTGGGGAATAGGTCCTCTCCAGGCTTAGTAAAAAAAGATCATAACAGTTAATGGAATGAATAAACAAATAGATCTCCATTTATCCCTCAGATTTCTAAAAATATCTTCGTGACAGTACAGGGGCCATATGAAAAGTCACAGGGCCCTGGTGCTACATTTTACAAAGGTCTTCTGTTACCACAGCTAGGGAAATTGGTTAATACATGGATAATACACAGGGAAGCTCTGTAAGGACAACAGGCTTTTGTTTGCATGAGAACTACTTATCTCTCCATACAAGTGAAGCAGCTAAGAAGCAAGTCAACAGCAAGTCAGAGGAGGTCAACAGTAGGTCAAATGCACCTGTCAATGAATCTGAAATAAACTCAGAGCAGTCTAAGGGCTCATGTACACTGCAGCTGATAAACTGACGTTCAGGAGCTTTTCTGCATTTTTTTCAGCAGCCCCTGAACTCTCCCTAATGTTTTCCTATGTGTCCATGTACACTATGTCGTTTACAGGCAGTTGAGTTTACAGTTGTTTTTTTAATGCATGCAAAGCGTTTTCCAGGTACTCAAATGGACCTAGTACACCAGCGCAGTCAGTTCCAGGTTTTGCGTGAAGGAAAAAATGGTAGAACATTATGATCATGATGGGATCCATAGTCAATACAACCAGAAAAGATAGGTAATCTCAACACATACTGCTCTCTCTGCTTCTGCTCTCTCTATTTCTCTCAAAATGTCTGAAATAATTATTTTTTTACTGTTTTTCAATGCATTCTGGGCATTTTGGAAGGTCTCCTGAGGTTATCTTTTAAAAACGCTTCTAAACGCAAACGCGCATAAACGCGGTATGCAAACACGGCAAAACAGATGTTTTTTAACCTACGTTTTCCAGTAGTCAGTTTCCATCATTCAGAAGTGTTTTCCAAACGTCCCGTGTACATGAACCCTAAAGCTAATGTCAAATTTAGACTGAATGCACCTGAAAGCAAGCTGCATTTGCCCATTACCATAAGCCCAAAAACAGTCAACATGGCCACAGGTCAGACAGTCCCCATAGTTCATTATAGTCAAATTTGAATGGAGTATACCTTTAAAGATACAGGATGGTGGATGATGAACAGGTCAATGTAATCCAACTGAACAGAAGCAAGAGCCTTTTCTACAGTGGTATGGACAAGGTCAGGCCGGTGGAAGGTGCCCCATAGCTGCAGAAAATGATACAAAAGCAAAAATGAAAAAGTCAAAATGTAAAGACTTTTAATTCTGCTGGAAACTGTATCGTGTTTACATGGCTGTATAGTTTCCAAAAGATGAAAAACTGTAAATTAAATGTAAACTCACCAGTAACGTTTAATAGACCTTGAGTTAGTTAATATAACAGTAAAAGCTTTTTTCAATTGTTTTAATTTTATAGTTTTATAAAAAACAATCTCTGTTGACCCTGCCATAAAGGTCCTTGTTTAGGGACTTCATGTTACAAAGTGACAACTACCTTCCAATTGTGCTCCTGGTTTGTCACCCTGTCACGTGTGCCCCAGGTGGAGACTACTGGCACATGATGCAATGATGTACAGCTGATGGTGAAGTAAGTGCATACGGACAGGAAGTGGCTGAAAAAGGTTGGAGGAGATTAGCAGCACTGAAATAGGAAAGTGTTGAAAACAGTATTTTATGAAGATAAAAAAAGTGTTTATGACATAGATTTCTTTAGAAAACTAAATGTCACCAAAGCTAGGTTTAGGTTTACTTTAAATCTACTCCGTGGGGATGATTTACTAAAGGCAGATAGACTGTGCACTTTGCAAATTGCAGTTGCACTCCGTAAGTGCAATTGCTCCAGAGCTTGGTAAATGATCTGAAACTCTGCTACTTCCATCATCCAATCATGTGCAAGCAAAAATTCCGTTTTTTTTCATTTCCTTGCACGTGATTGGGTATTCTTTGCAAAGTTGAGCTTTACCTCATTTACTAAGGTCTGGAGTAAATGCACTTTGCAAAGTGCACAGTCAATTTGTCTTTAGTAAATCAACCTGTGTCTTCCTGAGCTATAATATTCTTCAGGATTGAAAAGATATTTTTGTCATCCAAAGTCTGAAAATACATGAATTTTTTTATATGGATAAACCCCTTGGGAATTGTTTTTTAGTGTATTTACCATGTGACAAGTTATGAAGGTTTGCTTTATTAGCGAAAGACACATGTGATGTGGCTGGGGCATGATATTGTTGTGGTCATTATAATATATATATATTTCCCTTTTTCATTTCTGTAAAGTAAATAGTACTTTCCTTAGCTTCTATTGAAAAAACAGACCTCAGTAGCTTGAGCTGAAATTTACACACAAGCAAAAGAAGCTGAGCAGGGACTCCTGCAACCTCCTGAGGGGGAGTCATTTTAAAACACTCTGATATGAAACATCTGCTGGTGAGCTGTCTGCTTAGCTAACCCATAGTGCTCTTATATCACTTTGATATGCATTAGATGTTTATTTGTAAAACAAAGATTATTATATATATATATATATATATATATATATATATATATATATATATAGTATCTATTACCATCACATACAGAATCTGAAGTCAGGCTTGATCCACCCATTTCTATATTCAGAAATTATAATAAAACAAGCTATCATACCTTGCTTGTATAGAACAGATCTTCCCTTTTCATGGCCCCTTCAGCTATCTTGTCCCGAAAAGCCTGTCCAACTGCCTCCTCAGCCATATAGCTGTAAGCGCAGTCCACATGACGGTAACCAATGTCCAAAGCTGTCTTTGTGGCTTCTTTCACTGCATTGAAGAGAGCCTAGAATAAGGATGGAAAACGAAGATTGAATCAGATTCCAGATTCTGTTTTATCTATGCTTTTATCTTACAAAAACAGAACAGCTAATACCTGATTGGCTGATACTGGTCACATGACATCTCTGTTTTGCAAACCACACATCATTTTTTCATTTTGACAAATAGCTGGAATTTGGCACTTTGGCTTTCACATATATTTGCAAAAGTGTGCAACTAAAACCTCTGTTTTAATGTAGCCTGTTAGATGGGGCCAAATTGGTTTGGTTGCAGGCTAGATGGTAAGTATGCTGGGAAATTTTCTGTTGTTTGTAATGTGCAAAGCCCCTTCTATGTGCACCTTGTTGTAAAGGTTAGTTGTAGATTAGGGCAGTTTCCTCGCCAATGCTTCTCTGTACAGCCTGTTGGTTAATTTGACGCAGGAACACATATGATACCTTCAGGTGCCATTGTGCTCGTGCTGAGTGTCTGGTGTGTCTCTGTGCCTTTAGTGAGGAGTGGGCTACCTCCAGGAAAACCTGCCATTAATTTATCCACTGCTATATGTTCTTCAAACTGGAGACTCAAAGTAAAGAGTCAGGACCGGAGTATACAGAGGAGCCTTGGCGAGGCACTGTAGCTTTCACATATATTTGCAAATGTAAAAAAAACCTTTGTTTTAACGCAAACTGTTACACATGGCCAATTTGGTTTGGTTGCAGGATAGCTGGTAAGTGTGCTGGGAAATTTTTGGTTGTTTGTAATTTTTTTAAACTGTACCTGACTTGGGATGTTACTAGGCTTTGCCTGACCTTTTTTTGCAAGCAATTCCTCTGAAATCTGTGAAGAAAAATCAGTATAATTAGCATGCATTTTTTTGTATCCAGTCTTTAATAAGAATCTAAAACATGCAACTCTTACAAGGATTTTTATTCCATGTGTCTCAATTGGATTAGATATTTCTTTTCCTTTCTAGCCATGCTGATGAATTTAAGTATCTATAGTGTTAGTTAAAAATTATAAAAGGAAACTGTTGGGGAGGATCAGAAGTGGGAGACTGACCTAGAGTGCTACTATACGACCCCAGCAGGACACTCTTGTTTTGAGGGAGACTTTTCTTGATTTTTAATAAGAACTTTAATTATTATTGTTTCTATATTTAAAATTCATCTTTGATATTCTTTCATATTTTTTGTAAATGTATCCAGGTCATTGTATAGCTAATAGTTGTTAGCCACATTAAATTGTACTTGTTCTGTCATGTTAACGAAAATTCAACATTACAGAACTATGTTAAAGAAAATTTGCAGGTTATGTCCAAGTTAATTGACTAACTGCTACTAGGTATACATTAATTATACAAATTTCCACCAGTGTACTATATATACTCTTTTTGGGGAAGGGGGAGTATTTGGGGTAATTTAGTCTGTTTCACTTAGTGTTCTTTTTCTTTTTTACTTGAGCGTTATTTCCGTACTGATGTGGTAATTTTTTTGTTTTACTTTTCTTTTTTGCTACTGGTTTGGGTACTGGTCCTGCTATTTAAAGAAAACATTAAAAATTAGAATAGTGAGGTTGTGTGACCCAAGAACAGGTCCAGAATAGGTTAAAGGGGCTTCTGTATTCCTCGGGAACCATTTTAAGCCCACTGAACCCTTAAAAACTACACAAACACCTTCACTGTGCCTTCCCATTTGCTGAAAATTAGGAGTGTTGTCCTCCTGGACCCTTCAAAGTCCTCAGTGGTTCCTCCTTCTAACCTCCACACCATTACCGTGCCTTTTAGTGGGCAGCACAGTGGCTAATGGTTAGCACTTCGATATTTTTCCTGAAAATCAAGTATTTCACACAAAAAAGGTATTGCATTAACACATGTTTTGCTATACACATGTTTATTCCCTTTGTATGTATTGGAACAAATATAAAACAGAGGCAGAAAAGCAAATATGACATAATGTCACACAAAACCCCAAAAATGGGCTGGACAAAAGTATTGGCACCCTTAACTTAATATTTGGTTGCACACCCTTTGGAAAACATAACTGAAATCAGTCGCTTCCTATAACCATCAATAAGCTTCTGACACCTCACCCCGGAATTTTGGACCACTCTTCCTTTGCAAACAGCTCCAGGTCTCTCTTATTGGAAGGACACCTTTTCCCAACAGCAATTTTAAGATCTCTCCACAGGTGTTCAATGGGATTTAGATCTGGGCTCATTGCTGGCCACTTCAGAACTCTCCAGCGCTTCTTTGCCATCCATTTCTGAGTGCTTTTTGACGTATGTTTGGGGTCATTGTCCTGCTGGAAGACCCAGGATCTTGGACGCAAACCCAGCTTTCTGACACTGGGCCCTACAGTGCGACCCAAAATCCTTTGGTAATCCTCAGATTTCATGATGCCTTGCACACAGTCAAGGCACCCAGTGCCAGAGGCAGCAAAACAACCCCAAAACATCATTGAACCTCCACCATATTTTACCGTAGGTACTGTGTTTTGTTCTTTGTAGGCCTCATTCCGTTTTCGGTAAACAGTAGAATGATGTGCTTTACCGAAAAGCTCTATCTTGGTCTCATCTGTCCACAAGACGTTTTCCCAGAAGGCTTTTGGCTTACTCAAGTACATTTTGGCAAACTGTAGTCTTGCTTTTTTATGTCTCTGTGTCAGCAGTGGGGTCCTCCTGGGTCTCCTGCCATAGCGTTTCATTTCATTTAAATGTCGACGGATAGTTCGCGCTGACACTGATGCTCCCTGAGCCTGCAGGACAGCTTGAATGTCTTTGGAACATGTTTGGGGCTGCTTATCCACCATCCGGACTATTCTGCGTTGCAATCTTTCATCAATTTTCCTCATCCGTCCACGACCAGGGAGATTAGCTACAGTGCCATGGTTGCAAACTTCTTGATAATGTTGCGCACTGTGGACAAAGGCAAATCTAGTTCTCTGGAGATGGACTTGTAACCTGAGATTGTTGATATTTTGCCACAATTTTGGTTCTCAGGTCCTCAGACAGTTCTCGTCTCCTCTTTCTGTTGTCCATGCTTAGTGTGGCACAGACAGACACACAATGCAAAGGTTAAGTGAACGTCTCTCCTTTTTATCTGCTTTCAGGTGTGATTTCTATATTGCCCACACCTGTTACTTGCCCCAGGTGAGTTTACAGGAGCATCACATGCTTGTAACATTCTTATTTATCCGCAGTTGTGAAAGGGTGCCAATACTTTTGTCCAGCCCATTTTTGGAGGTTTGTGTGACATTATGTCGAATTTGCTTTCTTCCTCCCTTTTTTTGTTTTGTCCCAATACACACAAAGGGAATAAACATGTGTATAGCAAAACATGTGTTAATGCAATACGTTTCGTGAGAAATTTTAGTAATGTGGAGATTGGAGAGGAGAAACTCTAAGTGCAGTGGTTGATCCAGGAGACCGACACTTCCAGAGGTGTCAGTTTCCCTGTGGACTTCAGAGGAGAATTTCTTGTGAACAGAGCGGTGTTCTGGAGGATGTGGGCGGCAGGAAAGTAACTATTCCCAGTCTTCCCTCATTTTTTGCTTTAATGCCATGATTTCATTAAGGTCTGGCATTCTAGGCAGAGTGAGTGGCAAAACGTTAGCCATAGCAGCCCATGTAGCTGCTATGTAGCCTAGGGTTAGAGAGGGGCCCATTAGGTCAGCATTTAAGGAAAAACTAAACTTTTAAGCTTTCAATATGCACTGTTTGAAGTAAGACCTTGGGATCATGGCTAGTCGTCACAGCCTCTCCTCTGTGCAGTAAGAAGCACATAAGCAAGTGTCTTAGAAGAGCCGCATAACGTCAGTGTACTTAAATTCAGAATTCTAGTCCTGTGCAAAACTGCACTATATTATACTGTAACTGGTGATGGCTTTCCCCCTTTTTAATCCATGCAAAGTCCATCATCAAAATCTTTATTTTAGATTTGGATAGGATTAAAAACCTTGGGTAGGTTTACCTAATGTCTGAGTTCCTCCTGTAGATACTCTCCATCTCTGTTTGTCCTGGTGACCATTGTAATCATGACAGAAAGTGATAAGAAATCCCAAATTTTACAGTTGTCACTGCAACAGGAAATCTTTGAGCTGGAACAGAAAACTGTCTAAAAGGGAAATTCCTTGCACTTTGAGGAGATTTCCTTTCAATTTCAGTTAAAATTTATAGCAAGGCAAAACTTTAAAAAGCATATTATCTTGTTGCCGTAAATTTTTTTTACCATGCAGGTTTCTTGCTAGAGAGTTTTATTGTCAAAATTTCCTTCTCTAGTGTTAGCAAAAATTATTTCAGTCAACCTAATTCTTAACAAATTTATTTGTCCATCATGTTTAAATACAAAGTATCATCTAAAATCATAAGTTTGTGTATCACATTCTGTAGATGTTCATACAGTTTGTCTTTCCAATGTAGAAGGCTCTGCAGGTGCAGACAATAACACATGTAAAACCCAAACCTTCATCCAGATTCATAAAAAGCCCTTTTTCCATACATTGCACTGATCATGAAACAGATTTATGCAAACTGATTAAATAGAAATCTTTTTATATTGGCCTTTATTTGTACTATACAATCAGAGTTCTGGATAGACATGTGCACACCTTTTGTTTCCTTTCAGATGCATTCATTCATTATGTTGAACCGATTGATTTTTGGAATTCTTTTTGTTATATTCGATATTCGGTTTGTATATAATTTGGTCCAGGTGGATTTGCATTTTTTACAGAAAATTGCTATATGTTAGCTTTTGAATCCAATATTTTGGGTGGATTCGTTATTTATATACCTAAGTTATTCAGGAGAATTCAATATTTTCAGGAGCAATGGAATAAATAATGCAAAATTTGGCAGCCCCAAATTTTTTAAAACCTAAGAATTGTATTAGATTGTGGAACTAAACTGACTGACTGAGATAATTAAAAATTCAGTTTAAATCAC